TTTTTTTTAAGGATCACAAGTGATAGAAGCAATGAGGGGGGGGGGGGGCGGTTTAGCAAAATAAGGGGATTGCGGCAGGACCGCTTGCTAGCTTATTTGTTTTTACCCCCAGGGTCTCGCATGGATTCGTTTTGCGTGTGCCCTGCCGGCGTCTACACGCAGGGTCCTTTCGCATTCCGTCTTGTGCACATTGCATTTGCGGGGTGCGCTCGTCTTTTTTTTTGTTATTTTTGCACTATATTATTTGCTTTTACTTTGTTATAGAAGTGATTAAAAGATATATTTTTCATGTTATCTAGCGGATAATTAGGTTGAGAGTTTAATGGGTGGGTCTCTTGATGTTTTTTTTTCAGAAGTTATTATTGACGAATCTCTGATAGTTAGGAAAAAGTATTTCTGAAACTCTTATTCTATGCTTGACAAATATCAAAGCATATATTTATTTATGCTTTTAAATTTAGCTCAAGATGATACTATGGACACGACTCGTCTTAACATTGTGTAAACTATTGAAAATCGATTTTCGAATCCAATAATGCGATATTTGTGGTTGTCTTTTTCATTGCTGCATATTCTTTCAATGGGGCTTTCATTTTGTATTGATCAAACTTTAAAAACTATTTCTGTGAAATTTTTATTCCTATTATTTTCTTAGTGAAACCACTACTGTTCTTGTATTTTTTGTTCTTTATCTTTTTCTCATTCTGTACACTACCTCGGAGAACTTAGCAAATAGTTTCTATAGAAAAATGCTATTTTAAAAGATAATAAGTCTAATCCAAGGTAAAACTTGCGTGTAATCCTTATTATACTTTTCTTTATGCAAAATACAACTTCCTTGATTTTAGGTGTCCAGTTATTATCTATTATGCTTGAATAAAGATTTTTTTATTCATTTTCACCAAAAAATACTAGTTGTCGTTTGTTTCACATTTTATTTATCAATTTCTTTGACTAAACGTTAAAAAAATGCTTGCTGTTGAAAATAGGTGTCCTTTAGTGAGTTAGATAAAAAATAGAGAACTTCTATTAATGGAAAAGAGAAAAATTATTCTGAATGGTTAATAGTACTAATTTTAAGTTAAGTTCCATAATAAATATAATTTGTTTCTTTTCTTTTATGAGGAAGGTGGGATATTTTTTAGAGAAAAAATTGAATTTTATCGCGTTATCCGAGTATTTTCATCGCTTTTGTTGTGTCACGATTGTCACCCTCCTCTGTGCCTTTTTTATTTTTACCAGACGTTCATAATTCTGGTGTTGTTACAATTTTGAAGATCGCAGTATATTCGTATTGTGCATACCTTAAAGAAAAAAATTTATGATCTTATTGTTTATATTATTATGTTTAACTAATGAGCATTAACTTGTATGCATATTAATGGTATATCTTAGTTTGAATAGAAAATGCTTTTTTCTTTAAAGAAAAAAGGATTACTAAACCCAATCAAACTATAGTACCCTCTTACTTATTGACAATTAGCCTTTCGGACTACGATTTACTCTTTCTATATTGTTGTTTTATTAAATTTGCTCTATTACGTGAACAAAAACAAGCCTAAAAAAATAAAGAATGGTGTTCTTTTTTTTGTGTGTGCTACCCTTTTCTGATATGAGTGGTGAGAAAATTTATATTAAGTCTTTTTTTACTGGGTTATGAAATATTTAACCGATTCAACTTATTTGGTATTTTTATTCATCTTTATCGATACATATTAAATATTCATAAATTTAGTAGTAATCATTTCATCTATGAAATATGTTCTAGATATTTTATTTTAAGCTTTTATTAGTGTTCTTTATCTGTCTTGAAAATTTATTTTTCCCTAAATTCTATCAACAACCTTAAATTGAAAAGTTACGTCACACAAGGGGTTTCTTTTTTCTTTGGTTTAGTTTAACACATATTTCTAGATAAAATTTTTGGATAGCTTTTAGCTATCGCATTTCTTGCTTTTTGACACACACAAATATATATATATATATATATATATATATATATATATGTACGTTAAA